CATCACCGTGCTTAACGGTATCCATACCAAACTTCGATTTCCATGATTCTCACCTACATATGGGAACTCCAGAGATAGATTCATGGAATGGAATGCGCACTCTCTCCCTGGAAGGACACATCTTGTTTACCTAATTCTGGAGTGTATTAGCCGCACGTTGGCAAGAGCCATGGTTTGGGGACCCTGGAGTGTGCGTTGGGGTAACTGCTGGAGTTATATTGACATCACTTGCAATTGATAGCACGGTCTGATAAGTTTGTACAGCTATGACCATCCTACCTGTTAGGGCTTTGTCTTGCAGGGTTAACAAGAGCTGAGTGGGAGGATTCCCCGTCCCCAATGAATTGACAATCCTGCAGAGAAAACAAGTTTGAATGGCCACTTGAGGTCAAATACGAGTTAGACATACAATATTGTTTTTCTCCTCTGATCTTGTCTCTAATGAGCTCCACAGTGAATTGCAAATGACCATGGATGCCAACATTTCATGAAAGAGATTATGAGAAGTACTGAAGTTTAAAGACAATGGTGACGGAGCACGTAGCAAGGGTAAGATTGCCTGCAGTGTACACGTGAGGTGCAATCCCACTGAAGTGTTCATAGAGCCATTTACATTTAAATTGCACCATCAAAATTACCCTGAAAAAAGACATCTCAGCATCAGATATCCATTGTCAGAAAATGTTTGAAATGCACAGCAGATCATCAGCATTTGAAAGAGAAAGACAGGTGTAACAACAGTCATATTATTACCCTACTCCCCCCCCCCGCCCCCACCAAACTGAACAACGTATTCTGCTGGATGAAACTTGCACAACCTGATTGCTCACTGAAGCAAACCTTTTATTTTTTTTTACATTTTTGTTTTTGGCAAGCTTCCCTGCTACTTGTCCAGCTAGGACTACCCTACCCCATAGGACTTTGTCTTAATAGGAACTGACTGGGATAATTCCGTGCCCCCAGTGACTGGTTTGCCCTTCCAAGTCCTGCCGATGAGCCAGGCTGATTGTGCGGTCATCAACAATGGTCTGGAATACTGTGGAACTGCCTGGTTCAGGAACCGGACTACCATGACTGCCACAGAGCGTGGGCTCAATTCTGACATTCAGTATCAAGGGCTAGATATGGACATGAAATCCAAATTGTTTGAAGGGAAGGAAACAGTGAGTCTTTGTTTGGTCAAAATGGCGAGAAGTATTAAGTGGGGTACCTCAGGGGTTTGTACTTGCACCCTTCCTGTTTCTCGTATATATATTAATGACCTAGATCCTAAGATCTAACGCAGTTAAATTTCCGGAACACACATATTGGGGAAATTGTGGAGTCAGAGTCAATATTTACAGCTTGTTTTTGTTCAGCACCCTTCACATGAGGTAGTTGAACAATGGCATAGTTTGACGCTGAGCCGCAGAGTAACTGTAGGTGACCGAAGGCAAGTCGAAGAGAAAAGTCTTCAGGTGCGACCTGAAGATAGGTAAAGAGGGGACCAGGTGGAGGGATCAAGGTTTGGTGAAAAGCATCTGCAAGTGATAGTAGAACAGAGGGTCACGGGACACAGGAAAGGGCTGCGCCGGCCAAGCAAAATGGGGGTGGGAGGGGTAAGTGAAGTGAAATGGTGGGGAGTGAGCACGCTGGAGAGGTAGGGAGGCTCTAGGGTATGAAGTAAGTGGGTATGAGGATTCAGCGAGAGGGAGCCAATGCAGCCTGGTGAGGGCTGGCGGTGTTGATGGGGTGTGGATATGGGCGGCAGAGTTTTGATTTAGTTGAGCTTGGTGGAGCTGGGGAGACTGGCAAGGAGGTGCTTTGGGGAGGTGACAAAGGCTTAGGTAATAGTTTGGGAGCGAGGTACTCACAGTGTTAAACTGATTCCAATGTAACAGTAATTATTCAATGCATTTCTTCATTGCCTGGATTCCTGGTAAAGATGTCCAGTCATCGTATTATCATTATCAGAATTAGGCTCGACCTTTCATACTGAGCAGAATATTAGAATTTAAATGGAGGGTTGTCACAAAATATAACAAGGTATACACATCAGTTTTCCTGACCATCTAAACTGGCTGGGGAAATCTCAATCTTACCACTTCATTTAATCTCTGCTTTGATAAAGACTTGATACCATTTTCTTTTGTAATTCATTTCCATAGATTAAGATAATTGGCCAATTTGACTCATTAAGACGCTGGCACATCTCGTTGTGAGTTCCACGGCTGAAATGAGTTGCTGCTATTTCATAGATAAACAGAAGCAGTGTGCTTTGACTAAACAGGAGTCAGTTCTGCATGACTGCTTTTATCTCTGATTAAATAACTACCTAATCTTCATTCTGTTAATTTTGCAATCTCTGACATTGACTTGACATTTGCATAAAACAACCCTCATCTGCAGGAGCCAATACTGTATGAAAAGTGACTGCTACAAAAATTACCTACTGAGACGATATTGCCTTTGGCACCAGCTTCTAAAAGCGGAATAGATAACTCAACTGCTTAAATCAATTTACATCCTGAAATGCATGGATCTTCCATGATTTTCAAAGTTGACATACTTTGAAGATCTCAAAGGTTCCGCCTTTTGGTGTCAAACATCTATGCTATGGATAAGCACCATATAAATCCATATGGTCTTCGCCTGAGTAGGAAGTCCTCTCACCTCTCACCCTATTTACTATAATTATTTTATTCCTCCATTTCTCTTTTAGATTATTGTCTCTCAGAGATGCTCTATTGCTACAAAACCACCCCTGGCTCCTTTCCTTTTAATTAGAGGTGAATACAATACAACCAATGATCAATACAAAGCTCTGCTAAGGTTCAAGTTACGTGTCCAGCTGGGATTACACTAAATCTTCGCACCTTAGCTCGCTGTGAACAGGACATGTCTACACCTCCTAGTCTTATTGGTGAGAAAGGCAAGCTGGGGAATCATTAAAATGGCAATAAATTACAACAGGCTGGTTTCCTGAGATGAATGGATTGAGAACAACGCAGCTTATATTTTTTTTACTAATAAACCAAGCGAAAGTGAAACAAACTCAAATCCTTGTACTCCCAAGTCCAGTGTAGAATTCACTGCACTGGCAGACTTATTGTGTTGCTTTTTACTGCTGTCTCTAACTCTCATGAAGATCCTTAATTGTACTCCCCCTTCCTTTGACAAAAACTATTCAAATAATCCCTTAAACATTAGTGCCTCGGAGTTTCAACACAAATAGCGGTGATTAATAGTCATTTATTTATTGAAACATTTGCTTTTATATAGATTAGGCTATTTTGCTTTTAATGATAAAGTGATAATTATTTCCAACAAACTTGCAGTGATGAAAACACAGATGTATTCCTATTTGAATCAATGGTTCCTTTTTGCTAAGTTAAGGTAGGACTGGACTAGGAATCATCACGTTGGCCATCAAGCCCTTTCCTTCTACAGACTATGGCTATTCTTCGATCTCTTGAAAAAACACCCTGTATAAATACTCCTCAAAGGTTGATGCACTGTTCAGTTCTGCTCTACAGCTATCCACAGACTCTGTCCTTAGCCCCTCCCCAAAACCCTCAGAGATAAATATTTGACATAGTCAGTCAAAGTAACAATTCACATTTCTATTGTGTTTTTCACATCTGAAGGATGTCTCAAAGCACTTCACATAGCTAACTGGAAGCCCAATGAGGAGGAGAGAGCTAAGGAGAGAGGGGAATAGGTGAAAGCATAATCAAGGAGATAGGTCTTAAACACGTTTGGAGGGTGGGGAGGGGGCAAAGCAGAGGGACTCCAGGATGGAGTCCCAGAACTGCACTGCCTACCACTATCAAAGGGCATCTGCTACATTAATGCAAGGATGATTGTTATTGTTAACACATTCAGAGCAACTGGAGCAGCTCAATATCTGTTCAGTGTCACAATGGATGTGTGGATTGTTAAATTCTATTTCAATTTCACGAGCTTTGATATAGAGTGCTGGAGAAATCCTCCCTGCATCCGTGCAATGATTCACATAGAGAAAGATTTAATCCCAGCAAGATGGGCACCAGCTGCTGTTCTATAATAATAAAACATTACCTACATAAAGAAATGTTTTTTTTAAACGGTATTTTCTCTTGAGATGACAGGTTTAAATATGCTGTACAAAACAGCACACATCATGAAATAGCAATTCACCGCCTAAAATCAATATGCAATAGTCGGAGCTTCTTGTGAGTCAACAAAGCCCAGGCTCAGACAGAAAATCGATGGCTTCCTCAAAAGAAATTATTTGTTTGCTCTTACAAGTCATGCCTTGTTGATGTGAGAGTCCCTGTGTCCAGTAACTAGTGCACACTGGCACCCGAGTTACACATTCCCTCAATACAATCTACAATCATCACCTAGGAACACAATAATAGTTTTAGACAGGCAGCCTCTCAATAGATTCCTCTATCCCATCATCTAATAACTCCAGATTCTGTATTGACTGACGTTCTGTCTGACCCCGAGTATCAAACTGCACAACTGGTCAATTGTTTTCCTCCACCTATTGCCTTCTCATTCTCACTTCTGCTGAAACCCTTATCCTCGAGGATAAAGTTGTCCAATTGTCTCTCCCCTCTCCCATCTCCCCAAGCCTGATCCACTCCACACTCTGACTTGGCAGTTCTGGTCTTCAAATCATTCGTAATCTCACATCACCCTATCAATGGAATCTTCTCTAAAGCTATGTTACAGCCTGACCCTTCCACTTTTTCAATGCTGGTTTATTGTTCAATCCTCACTCCCTTCACTCCATCAACAGTGGCTGTGGTTTTAAACCACCAAGTCTCGATGCTCTGAAACTAAGGCACTTTTCCTCATTACCTCTCTCCCTGCTTTCAAAAAACTCCTAAAATCAAATTGAGGAAACACAGAGCAGATACACACAGCCTATCTGCATGTCCAGTAGTCTATAATAGGCTCCAATGTGGAATTAGACCTGCACTTGAAATACCAGCAAAATATTCCTGTTGTGAGCATGAACAAAATTCTCTCTACAGCCACATAGCTTCCCAACGCTCATAGTCAAAACTCTTACATGGAGACTGCCTCTTGAATGGAGTATTGGATGAAGCCTTAAATATCGAAGGAACGAAGGAGTCAACTGCCTTTAGAAGAGAAGTGGCAAGAGAGGGGGGAAATAAACATTTGTTAATGCTAAGATCATTATTACAGAAACATTCCATAGAACCATAGAAATTTCCAGCCCATTGTGTCTGTGCTGCTCTTTTAAGAGCAATCCTTTCAGCCCCATTTCTTTGGCTGTCCCCACGCCATACCTTTTATGTATTTAGCTAGATCTCGTTTGAAAGACAATGTGGATCCTGCCTCAACCAACACTCCCAGCTGAGCATTCCATATCCTAAGTAGACTGTGTGAAAAAAATGTCCTAACTTCCTCACTTGCTAACTATCTTAAATTGATGCCGTCTCGTCACTTCACACTGAGATCACGATGACTGTGCTCGCGAGTTACTACAAAATGAATCAATCTCATTCGAATCCAAATACACAGTCACTGCACTTTACAATGAAGTGTTTTGAGACGTTCGACGATGTATCAAATGCAAGGATTATTAACGTGTGTAGGAAGCTGCCTTCTTAATCATTCAGCTGGTGGTCTTTCAGTCTTCTCGACTAGTGCCTTCCGACTCCACTCAATAACTGAACATAAGAATCACACTGAGCTTTCTTACCCTTAATTAATGACATCTATTGTAACCGATGTCACGGTGAGTGAATGAAACATGCCTTCATCAGCTGCAGTTGCTTGCCAGGCTTTTATCCCCAGTAGCAATAACCATAGACCATAGCTCCCAGCTGCAGTCAGGCTTCACTAAGCTTTGATTGAGCTCTGAGCTCTGAAATGAGCTCTGAAATCTGCTGTGTTTTCACCCACACTTTATGCCAGCATTTTGCTCCAGAAAAGACCAGTTAGTCCAATAGAATGTTATCTCTGATCGTGAAATGTTTACCTGCATTATGTTTCACTCGCTTTTAAATTGCTGTTTAAATTCATTTTAAACTGTTTTTCTTTACTGGCAGGCTAGTTTGTTCATTTCTTTTCGGCTGGTCAGGGTCAAGTGTAAAGTGAATTGACTGTATACTTTGTGGGCGAAACACTAAAAAAAAGACAGAAAATCCTGTGAAGATCTTTGAGAAGTTTCGATGGCGGGACAAGGCACTGTACTAAATGCAAGGATTATTATTATCAGGTTGTGTCTTGTAGCTCACTGAAACCTTGCTTGTATTTAGGCAATTCTTTTACCTCACAGAGACCAAGGATGTGCCTCAGAGATAAAGCTCGTAGCTCATGAATGTGATGAATCTTGTTCGTCAGAGACCAGGCTTGTAGCTCACATGATGAAACTAAGACATCACTGAGACCAACTGCACTTTACTCAAACCCATCCAGTACCTCCTGAGAGCAACCTTACACCTCACTGTGACCAACATTGTGGCTTAATGACCTGAGATTTGCTTCTCACTGAAACATGACTGGAGGCCACAAGACCAGGGTTGTACCCCAAGTTCAGAGTCTGGTCAGATTATCATCGCTGTTTAGTGAGGCGAGACTGGAACCCACGCCCCTCCTTGCTCTGTGCATGCCTAATGACCACCTAATCAGACGCCATAGTGAAGAGCCCAGTCACAAAACTTGGCTCAAAAAAAGGAAATGTTTATTGACAAACAAAAATATGATAGATTTCACAGTTTACAAACGCAAGCTTTAATAATAACAGTAGTAACAGTAACAGTAATAATAATATGGTCCTTTTAAAATACAACTGCAAGATATAATATAATAATATAACAATAAAATATAATAAAACAATTTTATAACAATAATTTAATAATAATATTAACATGAACAATAAGTATAAAAATGTATAAAAACTACCCCCAACAAAATCCAACAAAAGGAATAATAACAATAACAACAATAATAACAACAAATAATATAATCTTCCGAGGAGAGGAGCAGAGGAGCCACGATCCAGCCAGAGGAGATGAGAGGGGAGGAGTGTTCTTTAACCTCAATCATCAGTTCTTTTCCTCCAGGAAAAACAACACCAGCAGCAGGTCCTGCATTTATAAAAGGAAACATCAGTGAGTCCTGGAAACACCTGGAAAAAGCTGAATATTGACAGGATCACAAGGGGATCCGACTCCCACCGACAATCTCCGCATCACAGCATTCAGCCGTTTCTTCAATGAGTCCAGAGTCCTGGCCACAACCAGCCTTCCTGGCAACCCAGAGAGAGTCTCACTGAGAGAGCGTTACTGTACCTTTTCCTCTTTTTCTTTTTCTTTGCTTCTGCTGCTGCTGCTGCTGGTGGGGACACAAAAAGACACTTTGACAATGACCCCCCACACACCAGCCTTTCCCTCCAGACCGACCACTCTGCAAACCCAAAGGTCTCACTTGGTCACAAGAGGGATTGGAGGATCAGGAGCAGTCATTGAAGCGCAAGATTTGGGGGGGAGTGAAACACGGAGCGAGACCAGGCCTGTGGACTGGGTGGCCCTCCTCCACTCCAGAATGGCACCTTTCAGACATGGAGCTCGTTCATACTTCCTGGAAGGGGTGACAGGCTGAGGGGATCCGCTGGGATCTGAAGCGGGAATTCCTGTTCCCACGTCCAGTCTCCAGCCCCTGAGCTGACGGGCAGAGACACCACCTGCCCAACTGGGTGAGGAGCCACTGAGTGGGGATCACATCCTCTGTGAAACGGACAGACTTGCTTACCCCTGGAGAGTTCCTCCACTCCCGCTTCTACCGATGTCTGTGGGGACAGAATTTGCTCGAATTAGACAGTCACTGAAAATCAGCTTCAAAATAGACTGCAGCTCCTCCCACCTTCTCCACTTCTCCTGCGATCGCAGCATTTCTTACATTACCTGCTCTCTCTGGATGCCCTGAACTTCCTCCTCTTTCTGTTCTTCTTCGTCCTAAAGACAAAGTGAAAGATTCAGCCCCTCGCTCAGATCTCGTGTCAGCCTGGCTCAGTGGGAGCGCTCTCTACTCTGAGATAGACAGTTGTGGGTACTAACGCCACATTGGGACTGAGAATCACATAGTCTAAGGTGACACAGCAATGCAGTGCTGGGGTGGTGCTGCTTTGCTGGAGGTGCCAACCTTTGGATGAGATGTTAATCTGAGGTCCCAACTACCTGTTCAGTCGCCGTTAAAGATCTTGTGGTACAATTTGAAAAGAGAAGGGAGTTTCTCTCTCCCGGTGCCCTGGCCAACAGTGCCACAGATAGAATTGGTCACTCATTCCAAGGCCGTTTGTGGGACACTGCTGTGTGTAAATTAGCTGCCACACTTTTCCCACAAAAACAGTCACTACACTTTAAAGTACATCCTGTGAGGCGCTTTGAGACGTCTCAATGACACGATAAGGCACTGTATCAAATGCGAGGATTACTGTATCAAATGCCCGTCAGTTACACAGCGTCTTGCCCGCCTGCGCTCACTCACTGACTTTGGGACGTCCTCTGCCACAACAGTGTTGTTCTCCTCCATTTGTTCTCTTCTCTTCAGCCTAACAAACAACAACAGCAACAACTTGCCCTTATGCACGATGCCACTCACATATCAAGGAGTTTCACACAGATACCGGGAGCCCTGAGCAGCCGGGGGAAGGGCAGGGTTTGGGGACGACGGCCAAAGAAATTGCCAAAGTGATTCGTTTCTGAGAGGAGTTTGAAGGCAAAAACAGAAGTTTTGAGGCGAAGGGATTTGGGGGCAGTTTATGGAGAGAGCGGACGTAGCAAAAACCTTACCACCACCTCCTCGCCCCTTCCCTGTCCGTGGCGATGCTCTTGACCTGGTAAAGAGGCAGAAAGGAGAGGATTAGCTGCCGGCAAAGCCCTGGCAGTTATGTCTCTGAAGACATTGCAGGATTGGGCTGGAGAATATCAATCTCCAATCCCGACCGGGCTGTAACTCGGTGAGTCTCTGGGTCTGACACTCACTTCTTTGGTTTTCAGCTCCAGCTCCTCTTGTGCCGTGGCCAGCTCCAGGTCAAGAGGGGAAGACAGTGCTGTTTCCTGAAATACAAAGCTGTCGTTAGTGTGTGTGGACTCAGTTTCTTGATTCTAGTTGCCCTTAGCTATCCAGAGCCTTGGGATGTCCTCTCCACTGCAGGGGGAGTGAGAGTGTCACGTTTCCTGTGCAGATTCTGTGTGTTTTGGCTGGGAATTAACTGGAGATTGTCGTCTCCCCTCCCACCCCTGTGGGTGACGCAGATCAGGGACATTAGAATACATTAGAATATACAGCACAGGATCACGCCATTCGGCCCAACTGTTATGCTCCACATGAGCCTCGCCTCCTCCTACCCTTCCTCAACTGAGCCTTCAAGCATAACCTTCTATTCCTTTCTCCCTCATGTACCTATCTCGCTTTCCCTTAAATACATCTATGCTATTTGCCTCAACAACTCCGTGTGGTAGCATGTTCCACATTCCCACTATTTGTGTGAAGAAATTTCTTCTAACTTCCCTATTTGAGCTATTTGCAACGATTTTATATTGATGGCCCCTGGTTTTGGACTCTGCCACAAGTGGAAACATCCTCCTATGTCTACTCTATCAAAACCTTTCATCGTTTTAAAGACCTCTATCACGTCACCCTTTACCCTCATCTGTTCAAGAGAAAACAGTCCAAGCGTGTTCAGCCTTTCCCGATAGATGTAACCTCTAAGTTCTGGGATCATCCTTGTGAATCTACTTTGCACCCTCTCCAGCGCCTCTGCATCCCTTCTATAATGTGGGGACCAGAACTGCACACAGTATTCTAAGTGTGGTCTTTCAAGGTTCTACAGAGGTTTACCATAACTTTCCTGCTTTTCATTTCTGTCACTCCAGAAATGAACCCCAATGGCTGGTTTCCTTTTTTTATGGCCTTATTAACCTTGATTGCTACTTTTAGTGAATTGTGTATGTGTATCCCCAGGTCCCTTTGCTCCTCTACCCCATTTTAGGCTTTTATTTTCCAAGATGTATGTCACTTACCTCACACTTTTCTGCTTTGAAATGCATTTGCCATTTAAGTGCCGACTCAGCAACTTTATTAATGTCTTGCTGTAATGTGATGCAGTCCTCGTCTGTATTAACTATGCCCCCAATTTGATGGCATCCGCAAATGTTGAAATTCTACTGCTGATTCCCGAATCCAAATCATTAATCATCTCCACACTCCCGGCCACTGTCCTCGGGCATCTCAGTTGGGAGCTCAATGCCACCTGTCACAGACTTACTAACCTCCCACTGACTGGGATGGAACCTGGCCATGTCCAGCAGTGCGGTCGTCTTAGGAATTGCTGTGCGCTGGATGCCAGAGTGGCTCCCTGGCTCTTTATGGCAAACTTCTGTGCGCAACTGGCTTCCGCAAAACAAAGTCACTACACTTTCCAGTATTTCCCGTGAAGTGCTTTGAGACGTCAGGATGACATGACCAGCTGCTGTACAAATACAAGGATTACTATAATTATTATTACCTGATTGGAGGATCTTGAAAGAAGGAATTCCTTGCACCGTTGCATCATTATTTCAGCTTTCTAAGAAAGAAATGGATTGTCATTGAAGCTGCTCCCAGTCAGGGGTCAGGCACACGGCCCTCCCCGCTCAGCAGACAACAACAACAACAGTTTACAAATTTACATTTGTATAACGCATTTCCCGTCTGGAGGATGACCCAACGCATAGACGACAGTGACATTACTTTGGGAAATGCTTTACATAATCTCCGGTAAGTGCTTTGAGACGTCTGAATGACATGATAAGGCGCTATATCAAATGGAAAGATAATTATTATCCAGGGATTGTACGGTGGGGACACGGATGTACGCTGGACGTGACGAGGACATTACCGGCCGCCACCGTCTAGTCCTCTATAAAGCGCCTGCACCATCAGCCCGTTAGTTACGCTATGACCCGTCTGCCTACGCTCACTCACGATCTGTGGGAATTCTTCTGATCCAGCCTCCTTATTCTCCCCTCCTGTCTCCTTGTTCTGTTGCCTAACGAACAACAACAACAACTTGCCCTTATACACAATGCCGCTCACATTAGACTCAAGTCTCAAAGAGCTTTACACAGAGACCGGGAGCTCCGAGCAGCCATGGGAAGGGCAGGGTTTGACGATACCAACCAAAGGAACGGCCAAACTGATTAGTTTCTGAGCTGCGTTTGAAGGCTGGAAGAGACAGTTCGAGGCGAAGGGTTTTTGGGGGTTTTGTGGAGAGTGGGGCCGTAGCCAAATCCTTACCTGCTCCTCTCCTCCTCCCTCTTGGCTGAGATCATCTTGACCTGCAGCAGAGACACAAAGGAGACTATTAGCTGCTGGCAAGGCCCTGGCGGCGATGACTGTCTGAAGACATTGCAGGACTGGGCTGGAGAATGTCAAGTGTCCAAACCCATCCGGACTGTAACTCGGTGAGTCTCTGGGCCTGACACTCACCTGGTTGGCTAGACGCTCCAAATCCCGTTGTGCCCACGCCAGCGCCAGGTCAAGAAAGGCCATTTCATGTTCTTCCTAAGAAACAAATCTGTTGTTAGTGTGTGCAGACCCTATGTCTTAATTCAAACCCTGTTCCTCAGCTCGGTGGCCATTGGTCTGCTTCATGTCCCCCACCCTGACGTTCTTCATTCCGTGCCAAAGCTTGGGTGCAAACCCTTAAATGTCCAATGCCTTGGGAAGTCCTCCTGACGTGAAATGCGCTTTGGCCGTTTTTGTTGTTGTGTGCCGGACAATGAGAGGGACGCAGCAAAAACAACAAGTTACACTTGTATAGCGCCCTTCATGTCAGAAAGAAATCACAGAGAGCTGGGAGTTGGGAAGAGAAGGGGTGGAGGGCAAGAGGTGTAGGGGTGGGAGGGTGCCCGAAGGCACGGTGAACAGGAAGGTCATTCGTCGGGATTTGAATGTCCCATATATATGTCTATAGATATATAGATGTGGATTATCAGTTTGCAAACCCGAGTGCGGGAGAGGACATGAGTTGCAGAATTCTGAATCTTCTGCAGCTTGTGGAGGGAGAGTTGGGAAGCCCAGCGAGCAGGCAGTTGGCGTAGTCAAACATGTCTGCTGTACGGTGTTTGTGTGTTGTGGGTGTGAATTAAATGGAGATTGTCCTCCCCCTCCCTCTCTCTTGTGTGAGAGGAATCTCTCAGATCAGACACATCTCCACTCGCCAGTCTCCCACTGACTGGGATGAGCCCTGTCCGTGTCCGGCAGTGCAGTCGGTTCGGGAATTGCCGGTGCTGGATGCCGGAGTTGGAGTCCCAAGTGAAGCTGGGGATTGATGCACGTCCCCCAATGCCCGTCTCCCACTCACTCCATGGCTCTTTGTGGGAAAATTCTGGGTGCAGCTGGCCGCCACATTTCATCCGCAAAACACAGTCACTGCACTTCACAGTATGTCCTGTAAAGTGCCTTGATATGTGTCAACAAAGTGATCAGGCGACGTAACAAATATGATTATTATTATTATTACCTCTTTGGAGGAGTCAGAGAACATAAAAGTGAAGAACAATTCCCGCAAACTTCTTTTGTCCTGAGAAAGAAATGGATTGTCATTCAGACTGGCCCCAGTCAGGCGGTCAGGCACACGGCCCTCCTCACACAGCAGACAGTTGCAATACTTTGGGAAATGGTTTTATTATTGATGTTTCCCGGTTCGCACCCGGTCTGGAGTGTCACTCAACTGCTCACTGGCCTTGGACATTCCCAGACTCACAGGCTGTGCCCAGGGGCAGTGAGAGGGTCAGGTCTCCTGTACAGTGTCTGTGCTGTGGCTGTGAATTGAGTGGAGATTGTCCTCATTGCTCCCCCCTCACCCCCCACCTCTGACATGTGTGAGAGGAACCTCTCAGATGAGGGCCATCTCCACACTCCCCGGCCACTGTCCTGGCACCTCAGTCAGGGGCTGAATAACGACTATTTAAATTTGCCGCCGTGTGTCCCAGAATGTGTGTCAGGCCCAGGACGTCCTGTGACGTCTGTCAATCACCGCTCGTCGCTTCCACCCGCTCCCCAAGTCCCGCCCCCACACTCACCTCTGGTCGTGGCTCCTCCTCCTCATCGTCCCGCGGGTTGTCCTTCACCTTCAGCGCTGCTGCTTCCAGGTTCCTAAGGCTGGAGCGAGATTTTAATAATAATAATAATCCTCGCATTGATACAGCGCCTTACCATGTTGTCGCAATGCCTCAAAGCGCTTCACAGGATATACTGTAAATGGTGGTGACTGTGTATTTTGTGGGCGATACATGACAGCCAGTTGCACACAGCAGTGTCCCACAAACAGCCATGGAGTATAATTACATTGTGCTCTGGTCACATACTATCAACGTAATCTCGTGTGTTCTGGACACTGAAACAAACCCAGAGCGGAGTTGAGCGCTGGCTGAGCGGAGTATTACTTACAGAGCCCGTCACTGACACATGACACAACGAGAGAGGACACACTCACCTATTCTCCTTCACCCTCTCCTCCTCCTCCTCCTCCCCTGCAATCACACAAGAAACATCAGTCAGTGTTGGAGCGGATTCTCGGCCAGGGAGACTCTCAACTAAACCTTTAAGATTATTGTGAAAGCTGCTGAAGATTGACTGACTGTCAGAGTGGAGCTGATTGTGGGTCTCACACCAAAAACTCTACGTTTTCTCTCCTCTTGGGGCAAGGATTCTATCTGAATGGCTCAAGTTAACTCTTCAAGCCAATGCTCTAATGGTAGGGTGGTCCTAGCTTGGAAAAGCACTGGGAAAGCTTGCCAGACTGTGCTCCCAATGGCAGCGGTTTTAGCTGGTTAGACTCCAGCAGTTACAGGTAACGCACACTCTGGGGTCCCAAAGCCTTGGTTCTTGCCAACCTGGGCCCAATACTCTCCAGAATAAGGTAACCACAATAATGGAGCGGGTACAAATTCCATAGCAATACGGGTGAATTTCCATGTGTAGATGGGATGCGTGGAACTCTCAGTCCAGCTACGATGCTTTTTAGCATAGTGATGGGTTTCCGTATGTGTCAGACACCCGGCTGACCAAAACACCAGGGAGATTCCTGTACCCGCGGGCCGAGGGCTGATGTGCACGAGAGGAAGAGAATGTGTTTACCTGTCTGTGTTTCCACCGCAGTGGCTGAGCGGAGTTCTTCATCTGGTCCTTCGAACAACCATTTTGATTCTGAAAGGTCGACGGACCATTCTTCCTCTCGCTCGCTGGTGGGTTCCATAATTCCTCTCTCTCCAGCTGTAGCCACTGGAAAAACAAGTCTCATGACGATCGTGTAAGTGAAACGTGCAACGTCTGACGTGTTTAATTATCACATCATCCAAAACTCTGCTGCACCTGGGATCTGCTCACAAGCTCTGCTTCACTGGTTTAACTCAGTTTCTCCCTCCCTGAAATCTTGTATCTATCCGTCGGTGTACACTGCACCATTTCTCGCTTCCCAAAACTCCCCACAAACTGCAACTCTGCCCAACTCAGGGTTTGTACAAGTCCAAATTTGGTTCACAGAGAGAAAAGTACTTGCATTTTTGAAGAGTTTCAGCCTGAAAACAACCAAAACAACAACAACAAATTTCACTTGTATATCACCATTCACGTTAGGAGAACGTCCCAAGTCATAATGAATGTCTCAAAACTGCCGCATACAAATAAACCCCCACCACAGGGAAATCTCTTCTCACACCAACTCTGCCTTTTGAATAAAAACAAACACACAAAGACAACTCTCAGATCAGAAACCACAAAGTTCAGCTGTGAATAAAACCTCTCTCTAAAACAACACATCAGGCTTACCGTCCGTACTAATCCTGTCCATGTTCTGATATGAAACCGTGATTTTTATTGTTTCTGTATGTTCTGATTTTCTTGATTCCCTCCAATTTTCCTTATTTTCTAAATTCTTCTCAGTGTCCTGGAGATGCCCTTGTGAGCTGCTGATCCCTCCTCTCTTCAGCCCCAACAGAGAATCAGACAACGTTTCTCCACAAACCGGTCGCCGGGGCCTGACATCACAATCCCCCCCCAACCCCCCAACCCCCAACACCCAACCCCCCAACCCCAACCCCAACCCCGCGCTGCCCTGGAGTGTCAGCCTCTGACACCACAATACCAAGAGACCAATGGACAGCCCTGACGTCACAATCCGCCCCAATCCCCACCCGCACCGCGGGGCTGTGTTTACATTCGCATCAGAGAGAAAAGCTTCAAACAGACAAATAATAATCAATGTCTCAAAGTGTCTGTAGTGATTGTTGCCAAGTGCAATAACTGTCTCTCTATGTCGGCAATCACACGGCAGCCATTTTGCTCACAGCGACGTCACACAAACTGCTCTGAGATGAAGGATCAATTTTCACATCATTTGCATTGGGAGTACACCCCACGTAATAAATATCTCAAAGATGCCCCATACAAGCCCCCCCCGAACCACCCCCCGCCCCACCCCCCACCCACCCCCACGCCACGGAAATCTCTTCTGAAACCACTTCTGCTTTTTGAATAAAAACAAACATAAGAACATAAGAACATACGAATTAGGAGCGGGAGTAGGCCATTCGGCCCCTCGAGCCTGCCCCGCCATTCGATAAGATCATGGCTGATCTTCAGACCTATCTCTAATTACCCACCCTATCCCCATATCCCCTAATCCCTCTATTTACACGTGAAGACAACTCGCAGATTAAAAACCACAAAGTTCAGATGGGAATGAAACCTTTCTCTAAAACAACACATCAGGCTTACCGTCCATACTAGTACTGTCCATGTTCTGATATGAAACCGCGATTTTTATTGTTTCTGTATGTTCTGATGCTTTTGATTCCCTCCAATTTTCCTTATTTTCTAAATTCTTCTCAATGTCCTGGAGATGCCCTTGTGAGCTGCTGATCCCTCCTCTCTTCAGCCCCAACAGAGAATCAGACAACGTTTCTCCACAAACCCGTCGCCGGGGCCTGACATCACAATCCCCCCCAACCCCCCAACCCAACCCCCCCAACCCCCAACCCCAACCCCGCGCTGCCCTGGAGTGTCAGCCTCTGACACCACAATACCAAGAGACCAATGGACAGTCCTGATATCACAATTCCCCCCCAATCCCCACCCGCACCGCGGGGCTGTGTTTACATTCGCATCACAGAGAGAAAAGCTTCAAACAGACAAATAATAATCAATGTCTCAAAGTGTCTGTAGTGATTGTTGCCAAGTGCAATAACTGTCTCTCTATGTCGGCAATCACACGGCAGCCATTTTGCTCACAGCGACGTCACACAAACTGCTCTGAGATGAAGGATCAATTTTCACATCATTTGCATTGGGAGTACACCCCACGTAATAAATATCTCAAAGCTGCCCCATACAAGCCCCCCCCACACCCCACCCACCCCCACCCACCCCAACGCCACGGAAATCTCTTCTGAAACCACTTCTGCTTTTTGAATAAAAACAAACATAAGAACATAAGAATTAGGAGCGGGAGTAGGCCATTCGGCCCCTCGAGCCTGCCCCGCCATTCGATAAGATCATGGCTGATCTTCAGACCTATCTCTAATTACCCACCCTATCCCCACATCCCCTAATCCCTCTATTTACACGTGAAGACAACTCGCAGATTAAAAACCACAAAGTTCAGCTGGGAATGAAACCTTTCTCTAAAGCAACACATCAGACTTACCGTCCGTACTAATCCTGTCCATGTTCTGATATGAAACCGTGATTTTTATTGTTTCTGTATGTTCTGATTTTCTTGATTCCATCCAATTTTTCTTATATTCTATAGTCTTCTCAGTGTCCTGGAGATGCCCTTGTGAGCTGCTGATCCCTCCTCTCTTCAGCCCCAACAGAGAATCAGACAACGTTTCTCCACAAACCCGTCGCCGGGGCCTGACATCACAATCCCCCCCCAACCCCAACCCCCCAACCCCCCAACCCAACCCCCCAACCCCAACCCCGCGCTGCCCTGGAGTGTCAGCCTCTGACACCACAATACCAAGAGACCAATGGACAGTCCTGACGTCACAATTCCCCCCCAATCCCCACCCGCACCGCGGGGCTGTGTTTACATTCGCATTACAGAGAGAAAAGCTTCAAATAGACAAATAATAATCAATGTCTCAAAGTGTCTGTAGTGATTGTTGCCAAGTGCAATAACTGTCTCTCTATGTCGGCAATCACACGGCAGCCATTTTGCTCACAGCGACGTCACACAAACTGCTCTGAGATGAAGGATCAATTTTCACATCATTTGCATTGGGAGTAGACCCCACGTAATAAATATCTCAAAGATGCCCCATACAAGCCCCACACCCCACCCACCCCCACGCCACGGAAATCTCTTCTGACACCACTTCTGCTTTTTGAATAAAAACAAACATAAGAACATAAGTTTTGGAGCGGGAGTAGGCCATTCGGCCCCTCGAGCCTGCCCCGCCATTCGATAAGATCATGGCTGATCTTCAGACCTATCTCTAATTACCCACCCTATCCCCATATCCCCTAATCCCTCTATTTACACGTGAAGACAACTCGCAGATTAAAAACCACAAAGTTCAGATGGGAATGAAACCTTTCTCTAAAACAACACATCAGACTTACCGTCCGTACTAATCCTGTCCATGTTCTGATATGAAACCGCGATTTTTATTGTTTCTGTATGTTCTGATGCTTTTGATTCCCTCAATTTTCCTATTTTCTAAATTCTTCTCAGTGTCCTGGAGATGCCCTTGTGAGCTGCTGATCCCTCCTCTCTTCAGCCCCAACAGAGAATCAGACAACGTTTCTCCACAAACCCGTCGCCGGGGCCTGACATCACAATCCCCCCCAACCCCCAACCCCCCAACCCCAACCCCAACCCCCAACCCCAACCCCGCGCTGCCCTGGAGTGTCAGCCTCTGACACCACAATACCAAGAGACCAATGGACAGTCCTGATATCACAATTCCCCCCCAATCCCCACCCGCACCGCGGGGCTGTGTTTACATTCACATCACAGAGAGAAAAGCTTCAAACAGACAAATAATAATCAATGTCTCAAAGTGTCTGTAGTGATTGTTGCCAAGTGCAATAACTGTCTCTCTATGTCGGCAATCACACGGCAGCCATTTTGCTCACAGCGACGTCACACAAACTGCTCTGAGATGAAGGATCAATTTTCACATCATTTGCATTGGGAGTACACCCCACGTAATAAATATCTCAAAGCTGCCCCATACAAGACCCCCCCACACCCCACCCACCCACCCCAACGCCACGGAAATCTCTTCTGACACCACTTCTGCTTCTTGAATAAAAACAAACATAAGAACATAAGAATTAGGAGCGGGAGTAGGCCATTCGGCCCCTCGAGCCTGCCCCGCCATTCGATAAGATCATGGCTGATCTTCAGACCTATCTCTAATTACCCACCCTATCCCCACATCCCCTAATCCCTCTATTTACACGTGAAGACAACTCGCAGATTAAAAACCACAAAGTTCAGCTGGGAATGAAACCTTTCTCTAAAGCAACACATCAGACTTACCGTCCGTACTAATCCTGTCCATGTTCTGATATGAAACCGTGATTTTTATTGTTTCTGTATGTTCTGATTTTCTTGATTCCATCCAATTTTTCTTATATTCTATAGTCTTCTCAGTGTCCTGGAGATGCCCTTGTGAGCTGCTGATCCCTCCTCTCTTCAGCCCCAACAGAGAATCAGACAACGTTTCTCCACAAACCCGTCGCCGGGGCCTGACATCACAATCCCCCCCCCCAACCCCCAACCCCAACCCCAACCCCCCCCAACCCCAACCCCGCGCTGCCCTGGAGTGTCAGCCTCTGACACCACAATACCAAGAGACCAATGGACAGCCCTGATATCACAATCTGCCCCAATCCCCCACACCCCACACTCTGAACATTTGATTCACAGAGAGAAAAGTTCTTGTTTTTTTTGCGTTTCAGCCTGAAAACAATAACCAGAACAACAACAACAAATTATACTTGTATATCACCATTCACATCAGGAGAACATCCCAAGTCATAATGAATGTCTCAAAGCTGCCGCATTCAAATAACCCCCCACCACAGGGAACTCTCTTCACACACCAACTCTGCCTTTTGAATAAAAACAAACCCACAAAGACAACTCTCAGATCACAAACCACCAAGTTCAGCTGTGAATAAAACCTTTCTCTAAAACACATCACTAAAAGTCCATACTGTCCATGTTGTTATACAAAATTATCTTTTGGATTCTTTCTTTATGTTCCTGATTTTCTCCAATTTCTCTGATGGTCTAANTTTTTCACGAAGTCCTGGAGATGTCCTTGTGAGCTGCTGATCCCTCCTCTCTTCAGCCCCAAGTTTCTCCACAAACCCGTCGCCGGGGCCTGACATGACAATTCCCCCCCAACTCAACCCCAACCCCGCGCTGCCCTGGAGTGTCAGCCTCTGACACCACAATACCAAGAGACCATTCGACAGCCCTGATATCACAATCCGCCCCACATCAGGGGAGCGTCGTAAAGGTGAAAGCAGCAAACTGTAGATATGTGTTCGCGGATACTGTTCAGAAACTGTTTCCATTGGTAGAGAATTCAAGGATAAACGGGCATGAATTCAGGATTATAACAAGGGGGATTGAAAACAGTGGTTCATAAGATTTTGTCCCATCGGGCTGCCAGGCTATGGAATGGTTGGATCCCAGAGCAAAGTCATTTGAAGCATTTCAAGATAACTAGTACACTCAAGAGGATTGGGATGGAGAAGCGTCTTTCTCCATCTGAGACATCTTTCCAACTTCAGGGGCACTATAGAAGCATAATTTTTGGTTGTTGTTGCTTGGAGATGTGAGCACCAATATGCAGACAAGAGCCGAATGGCTTCTGCAATTTTAAAAATGGTTTCTTTAGTGTGCGTTTGTGATCCCTGTTATGAATTAAAGGCCTGTAAGAACATTTAGTTGCAAAATTTTAACATTGCACAAAATTATCAGAAATTTTCTAAATTCCCTCTTTATTTTTAGTGGAAAGCCAGCTGTCAAGTTTCAGAATGAATTTAAGCATTTTCTACAACTCTATACGCTGTTAAATTCTGAAGACCAAATGAGCTTAAAGGAAGTAGGAATGGAACAGTGAGATGTCAGACGGATGAATATTTTAGAGATTTTGTTGGATTGCGTCAAGAAGTTAGCGGCATTCAAGCAGAACTTCCAAGGAGATAAGAGTAGGTGGATGGAGGGAATGGGTTTGTTAATAATAATCCTTGCATTTTATATTGCACCTGATCCCATCATTGAGACGTCTCAAAGCACTTCACAGGATATACTGCAGAGTGGATTTACTGTGTATTTCATAGGCAAAACTGCATCCGATGGTGCACAGCAGTGTCCCATAAAGAGCCATGGAATGAGTGTCCAATTGTTTTGGGGTGACTTTTGACCAGGACGTCTGGAAAACCCTCCTCTCTTTGAATAATGCCACCTGAACAGACAGATGGGAACTCTGTATAATGTTTAATCTGAAGGATGTACCTACGACAATGCAACACCCACCCACCGTGCACCCCACCTCCCCCCATCCCACCCCCCCAGCCCACTGAGGTGGGGCCTGAACCCATAATCTTCTGACTCAGAAGCCAGAGTGCTACCTCTGATCCAAGTGGGTTAAATTGCTTTTCCTATTCCAGGATTTCTTATTTCTTATAAGATTACTTTAACGTTTCTCTTAATTAAATAAATACTTGTAAGTGGAATTTACACACGTTTCCGTCACGAGCGATTTCCTGTGAATGAATGAAACGGGATCTTGCATTTTTTATATGCCGTTGGGAGGGACATATCAGTGAGGCTCACGGCTGACAGCGAATCTGACAGATTGCTGTCGAGTCTCTTAACATTAGTGGTAAAAGTGACAAGTGACATTCAGTCCATCTGCAACCAGGGCTCCCTCTAACTCCTCGTCCTCCATAACCTCTCTGCTGCCTTCAACACTGTCGACCACTCTATCCTCATCCGCCA